CTTGCTGTCGTCGGATGAAGTACTTCTTCATGAGGAGGGTGAAAAATACGGATGCTGTGCGCTTGAACTTGGCGTGTTATATAATTCTTCCCCCCACTTCTTCATAGTTTTCTCAATAGAATCAGGAGAGGGGGTTGCTTTAAAAAAGTGACAGTTTTTCTCAACCTTGCATGTCATCTGAACATTTCCTGGAATTACCGTTAATCTCTGCTGTGATGACTCATTCTTCTTATCTCAGGAATGTCACACTTTCTCTTTTCAGGTATAAAAAAATGATTTATGACCTTTTGCCCTTAACCCTTGCTGTGATGCCTCATTCTTCTTATCTCAGGAATGTCACACTTTCTCTTTTCAGGTATAAAAAAATGATTTATGACCTTTTGCCCTTAACCCTTGCTGTGATGCCTCATTCTTCTTATCTCAGGAATGTCACACTTTCTCTTTTCAGGTATAAAAAAATGATTTATGACCTTTTGCACTTGACCCTTGCGATGATGGTTCATTCTTATCTCAGGTACAATCTCTAAAATGTTAAAAGGTTTAGGAGTCGCGACTTGCACCGCGAATTAAAGCCGCGGATTAAAAGCGCGAATTAAAACCGTGAATCAAAACCACGAATTAAAACCGCGAATTAAAACCGCGAATTAAAACCGCGAATTAAAGCGCCAATTAAAACCGCGAATTAAAACCGCGAATTAATTAATCCCACCAAAGCGCGAATTAAAACCGTGGATCAAAATCGGGACTGAAAACCGCGAATTAAAATCGGGGCTGAAAACCGTGAATTAAAGCCGTGACTTGATTAATCCCACCACCCACTCGCGGGGGCTTCTTCCATACTTCTTGCACCCAGAATCGACGAAATGTAAAATCCGCGAATTAAAACCGCGAATTAAACCGCGAATTAATTAATCCCACCCCACCACCCACTCGCGGGGCCCTCTTCCACAAGTCTCCAGCGCTCGCCCCAGAAACGTTGATCCAGAACCGGCCCTATACATCTACTGATTTTAATGAATAAAAAACAATTTTTTTCGTTTTTTCATCTACTATTCGAAAAAAATACGCCAGTACTGTGAGGACGAGTGATGACCCTTTTTCAGAGGTTTTAATTTGTCAAATTCCACTGTTACATAGGGGCCAGTCGAAAATCAATTGATTCTCCTTTTTCTTGATAAATAATAATAATCCCCAATTTTTTCGGGACATTTTGAAATGTGATATCGATATAGAGATGAGAAAAAATTATTTTTCGCATAAAAAAATTTTTTTTTTCGACATTAACGGCTATACTTAGTAAAATCACATTGTCAATTCATCACTTATACTCGTATGGTGAATCGTCCACATAAACAATGATATAACTACGTTGGAGGCCTAAAAATAGGAGGAGCATAATTGTTTTAACATTATTTTGAATAATGAACAATGAGTTTGGGGAAGAATGCTATCCAAAACCCATAAATTTTCTCATCAGATCCCTACTCTGTTAGAGAAAAAAATTAAATTGCAGGTTTCCCTGAAAATTCAGTGAAATTCCTGAATTTTAACTACCACAAAGACGAAAATTCCTGAATTTATTCGAAATTGAAATCTTTTCTGAAAACTGAAGTTTCATGATTTTTTCCACCTAAATCGCATTCAGTATTGATGTGCTGCAAATTCATGCACCTAAAAACACAAAAACAAATATGTTTGTAAAAAAACTGGACCAAGAAAAAATTTGTTTGATTCCTACTGGGAAATCGAAGTTTTTCAAAAATACATAGAAATAAAAAAGGAAGCCAAGTTAGGAATTTTGAATAAATGGTGATAGTGCTCATTCAGGTTTCTATAAGAACAAATAGTTCTCAATGGAATAAGTATTCTAAAAAAATTCTCCATGAAATAAAAAATCAGTAGGAGCAGGACCAACGTCTCTTGGCGCGGAGTTTTTCAAGGTATCACGTCTGATATCAATCTATTCCTATCTTGATCCGCGCCAAGAGACGTTGGTCCTGCTCCTACTGATTTTTTATTTCATGAGAATTTTTTTAGAATACTTATTCCATTGAGAACTATTTTCTTATAGAAACCTGAATGTAGCACCACCTTTATTCAAAATTCCTAACTTGGCTTCCTTTTTTATTTCTATGTATTTTTAAAAACTTCGATTTCCCAGTAGGAATCAAACAAATTTTTCTTGGCCCAGTTTTTTTACAAAACATATTGTTTTTGTGTTTTTAGGCAGATTTAATTATTTTTTTCAAAATAAGCAAGGACTCTTTTTACATCCGGTGAAATTTGTTCTTTTCAATTCAATTCAACTGATTCATTTTTCATAAAATAGAACATTTTTTGAATCAACAATTGAAGGGAAATAAACAGTTCTACTCCAGATTTATTCTCTCCACCGAACAATTTTCTGACTTGATTTGGTTCCTCATTCAATTTTTCCTCTGATGATTCCTATATGGTTTGTATTTCGTGGAGAGATCCCGAGTCGTGTTTTTCAACCCCATTCTACCCTCAATACTCCGTTTTTGTCTTCACTCAGACCTTAAAGTCGGATAGAAACTCAAATTTGAGGTTGAAGTGCGTCTAAAATTGTTTTCAACCTCAATCTGAGCCTCAAAACTCTCTCAGAGAAAAAGGTTGCTCCGTTCATGACCTCTTCAGTCGATTTGTCTTCACTTTGGACCTCCAAAGACTCGACAACCGAAGGGGCCGAATGCTTCATTTTTATTCTTGAAAAATAATACGGAAAAAAATATTTCGGAAGTGCATGATTATTATTCTTTTGTTTTTAATTGTAAATGAAAACTTCAGTTTTGACGGCATAAAACTTCCTCTTTTATTTGAAACATTTTCCAATAATTATAAGAAATATTTGAACAGAAAGTAAATCGATACATTCGATTTCATTCACGTTCCTTATTATTGACAGGTATTGCAATATAAAGTTCCCCATCAATTACCATTCGCACACAGACATTTTCTATTTGAGTAATATTGATAGCAAGTAGATTGTCAGTTATGCGGCACTTATTCAAAAAATGTCCTGTGGGTCGAGTGTATTGATTACCTTCAGCAACAAATGAGTCATAAGCTTCGAGTTGTTTTATGACTGCAACATGATGACCCTGGCACTGACAAACAATTTGACGACATTCGCATCTTATAACAATCTTTAAGAAACAATGGACTGAACCTAGTTCCCTTTTCCCATTATCAAGATATTCAATTATGTAAGATTCAGTTTGCAAATCTTTTGGATATAATTCTGCTACATAGAGCTGTTGATCTTTCAACAGCCTCAGGTACTGCCATATAAATGTGAATTGTGCTAAATGAGAATTTTGCAATGCATTGCGAATTCTATCACTCATATCATCCGTCATATTTTTATAATATCCTACACTGTAACAATGAGGAATAATTCTCTCAATTAATTTGACCTGACGTTTTTGATGTAAACAGAAATCTCTGAGTGGGCCTTCTGGAAGACGCTCAATAAATTTTCTCATTTTTATGAACTGAGCGTGGGATTTGACTATTTGTGTATCGAGGTGCCATGTGCCATGGACTAACTTCAGAAATTGGCCATTTAAGTTTTCATATTCAAAGCATGAATGCGCCCATAATGGACCATGAATTTTTACGGAAACTGCTAGATGCAGTAATTGATGTATATTTATTGTACAAAATTCTAGACCGTATTTCAATTCAAACTCTTTCACAAATTTATGCAACATATCATGAGCTATTTCTCTCATTTCTGTGTTGATGAAGTTACCATTTAGCAAAGATATTGATACTACTAATAGGAGATAATGCTCAAAGAAATCTTGTCTCATAACCCCATGAAAAACTGGAATTGAATAATAAAAAAACCATAGTTTTAACTCTGAAGCTTTCCAGTGGGTTAAATCTTGGATGGAACGAGGCATACGATGCACAAATTTCGGTGGTTTAATATTAATCAATCGAGTATTTATGACATCGATAACGTGATATAGAGAGAATGGACGAAAACGGTATTTGACGTCGAATAATAAAGTCAACAATTTTTTAACAACTCCACCTTCGATGCAATGCATTTTATCAATCGCTAATCCCTTCATGAAATCTGGCATGATCTTTGAGAAAGCGTTTGGACCCCTGATCCCCATGACGGGTCTTTCAGGACTAGCGATATTGCCATATTCTACGCAGACTTCTGAAGTTCGCATTTCTGGCTCAGCCTCATATGGGTATACATGCACTGAGCCTTCATTCTCAGTAGGCACATTTTCTCCTTTTGAAAAACAGGCTGGACACCCATAATTCCCATTGAACTGAATGAAATTCAAAAATTCAGCTTTTGCTGGCAGATCACAAGTTCCCATTAGTAGCAGACCTCGTACTGTAATCATTCCATTTTCACTAGGAACAAATATTCGAACACCAGTTGCTATCTGCTTGAATGTATCGCGGAATGAATAAACAAATTCATTGGCATTTGGTTTTTTATCTCCATACTAAAGACCAGCAAGCAAAGTGTTTTCCTTTTTCTTCCTCATGTCAAAGAGGCAGTTCATTGATGGTTAAATATAAAGGCCAAACGCCGACCTTGGATGATTTGAATACAGGTATTCCATCAGTATACCAACTGAAAGAGATATTGTGTGGATTGCTTAAAAATCCGTTGTTCATCCACTCTTCGTATAACGATCCATCATAGATATCCGAAATCCCGTCAGGTGCATTCCTCTGTCTTCTCAATCTCCATTGTAAACAATCATAAAAATTATCTCTTTTGTACATTTCTTCCAGTTGATTGAGAAAGGGCATCTCAACAAAATAGGCGATTTTTTTCTTTGGGCAAGATGGACACACATCATTTGCAGAAGTTAATGGTCTCAAGCACGTTGCACAATAATGATGCTTTTTCATTTCATTTTCATTTAATGAAAAATACTTTTGGAATTTGGTTAAGCTATTTTTCTTCAGATTCTGTTGCAGACAATGTAGATTTATAACAGTCATGATATCAGCCAAACAGAGATAATTGAGGTTATGGCGAAGAAGTAATGTCAAGATGAGCAACATACTCTCCCCCACATTCAAAGGAGCTCCACGATACAATGGTCGTTGATCATAAAAGTCCTCATCGTCATCATTTTCACGCTGCCTCCTACGAAACTCCTCTTCATTTTCTCTACATCCGCGATTCTCCTGCTCGTTTTCTTCATCTTCCTGCTCTGACCATTCATTCTGTTCATTCAATTCGTATTCTGCATCCCAATATTCACATTCATCCTCCGAAGATTCATTTTCCTCCAATTCTCTGCCTGGTAGTTCTGGCGGGCTTGCTTGGTCTTCGCCTAAGACGTCGTACTCCATTTGTAGGTTGTGTCGACATTCTGCATGACTTTGGCCTTCCAAAGTTCCCTCATCGATTTCAGCGTTAGGTCTAGTGATGAAAAAACATCATGAATTCAGAGGAAATCGAGTATTATATAGAAAAATTAACGTGGACTTTATTTTTGTTTAATTCGCATTGCCATGAAAAATAGGGATAGGGTGAACTGCCCATTTGCCGAACACAGCCAAAGAACGGAACAAATTTGATATTTCGGTTAAAATTGTTCCCGTATAACAGTTCAACACGCATACAATTTTTCAATCGAAAAGTTATTGCTCCGACAATGACGTCATACTAGGCATTATGAGATCAGAAGGTTCTCACAATAAGCACTTTAGGGTGTTCCGTTTTTAGGACTAAATGTTCCGCAAATGGGCAGTTCACCCTATGCATTTCAATTTTTTTCTCCAAAAAAAAAACATAGAATTAGATTCTGTAGACTCAAGGTATTTTGACTGAAAAGTGTACATGGTGACATCTTTGTGAAATTTACATAGGACATTAATAATGTAAGTTGGATTATGAATGCATTTTTGGTAAATTTTCCTAGATTTTTTCCATCTCTTATGACGATTTTCTAGGTTACCATGAAACTACTTTACCAGCTGTGCTGATAACATAGTGCTAACTCAGAAAATCGCCATAAGTGCCCATGTATAAAAAACGATTTTGATTATTGATTACTCGGAAAAGAAAACTTAAAAAATTGAAAAAAAAATCATACATAATCCAACGAACTTTATGAATGTCCTATGTAAATTTCAAAAAGAAATCATCATTTTCTTTAAAACAGATTAAACACTTTGAAGCAGTTTAATTCATGGTCAATTATTACGACCTCATTAATGTTAATATGACCTGGATTCATTATTTTTTGCAATTTATTAACAATTGTTGAAAATAACGATCAGAGAGGGGATAATTATGATGGGGAGAGTACTTACGAACAGTTTTGAAGAATTTCTTCATTACGTCCTGAATGTTCCGCTTCGTTCCTTGAATCTCTCATAAGTTGATTCAAAATATCACGTCTTCGCCTTGTCCCCAATTCATTAAGATTTTTTCTGGACATTTTTTCAATTTAAACTTTTAAATTGGACAACATTGGATAAATAGATAAAACACAGTTGGATTTTCGTCGTATTTAAATATCTAATATTATTTCAAGGTTATGAATTGCTGAAGTGATTCATTTCAAGAGTACGTGGCAGTCTTGATTTTATGCGAATCCAACAAGCAATGAGGGGGGTCGTCCCTTATTCAGGTAGATGCGCCCCCGACCAAAATCAACCTCGAGCATGAAAATTGAATTGCTCACAACATAAATACAAGAAATTCAGTTGGAAATTGAATCGCAAGTAGCTTCCGCAGTGGCCTATTGTTATTCATTATGTGTTTTCCTTCAAAGATTCATTTTTTAATCAATCGAAATATAATCTGACATTAAAATGTGGTTCAACGCGCTCGTGATCTCCGGCGTATCCCCACTCCTCCAACTTAACGTTACAACGGAGCGGCCCCACCATCACTCGGCTCACTTCCCCTTGTAGCGGAACTACGGAAATATTAGTTGGTTTATTATTCATTTTCATCCTCAGTAGATCGCCGGGAAGAGGAGGGAGGGGGGGGGATTAATCACAATCGATTATGCACCAATCATAATTAGTTAATTTCAATAAATTTGCGGTTCAACATAGGAAATGTGAGAAGAAATCAGCGGAAAATTCCCATGGTGATGTAAGTATGAAAACAAAAATTGTGTAGTAATTTAGCTTAAACAAATCAAATTCTAGCTTGAATAAATCAGATTTTTCAGTTTTCATCAGTTTCATTCTTTATTTTTCCGTGTGCCTGTGTTACCGGTATTTTATCATTTATCAAACACATAGATATGTGCTCCATAAACGGATTTCAACGCGAAATATTCTTGATGGTTAAATCTATATTTTCTATACGCAATATTGTGGGTGTTTAACAGCCAAATTTTTATTGGATAAAAATCAAAATATCTGGTGCACGGGGGAAGTTCCCGGTGAATGGGGAAAACACTATTTCATGGCCCACTATGGAATATTCAGAGTATTTGAAAATTTAAATTACTTCGGAAAAATTTCGATATACCTGGAGAGGATTAAAAATTCCCGGGAACGGGGGAAAACTCTTTTTTTATTACTCGCAGACCTTTCGATCGTAAACTTGACCATAGATCCCCTGCCAGAGCAATTGACGCGCACATGTGGCGAGCCCGCCTTGTCGCCAGGGCTGGTTTGCTTTGGTCTTTGTTATTCTCTCACTCGGTTAGAATTTTTTTTTCATTACTTTTACCCATTGCTGTCTCTTTCTTCACCACCCCCAAAAATTTCCTTGGTAACTAGAGGGCTTGGAGTACCGGGTTGTCTCTTTCATTTTCCGGGTGACCACCAACGAAGCAGGAGTGAAAATTAAATTTGAGTGAAAGTGAAAATAAAAGTTTTCGCGAATCATTTAACGGCCTAATTTACGTTGAGGAATTGAGTTTTTTCCTAGTATATTTCTCAGTGAAAGTGCCCAAGTGATCTGCCCAATTTTCAATAATGTCAGCTCCAGGGAGGAAACGACCACCAAAAGTGGTCAGACCGAAAAAGAGTGCATTAATTTGGTGGGTAGGTACCAAGTTCAGCGACGTATTACCCCTCCACAGACTTGGTACTAAGGCTGATAAGACAGTGGGTGCAACAGTGACACTTCCCTGGAAAGACAAGGTCACGGGCAAATTTACAAAAGCCCAAGCAAAAATTATGGCTATAGACGGTAATTATTCTTTATCTATTAAAAATGAATTTCAGTAGGGAAGCGTGAGCCAAAGTGGAACGTTTCTCATCTGCTTAAAATTCAAATATCTCTGTTTATAAACAAAGATATCAAGAATTAAAGTCGATCACAAACGTTCCACTTTGCCCCCCCCCCGCCCCTAGATTTTAAATAACTGCAGTGAGTATGAAATAGTTTAAGGGGTCTGCATAAGCTTGGGGCCCCAAAAACAAGTCGATGTTTAATTTTCAAAGTTATCAAAATGTCAAATTTCGAAAAAAGAAACATTTTCAACCGATTTTTATTTTCATATAACTCCTCGATAGGATAAACAGCCCAATATGTGGACGAGGGCCATTACCTGGACGATTTCAACTGTTATTGAATATTCTATGACTAATATCTTGGAAAATGTACTCAATTTTCCCATTTTTAATAGCAACACTTATGTTTAATAATGCCATGCATTTCTTTTTTAAATATCAACATTTCAAGTAGTAGAATAATAAAATTCGTCCAGTTATTGGCCTGATCACCCTACTTATCAGTCTTAAAATGTTCAAATATTGTTCAAATTGTTTTCAAACAATGAAAAATATAATTTTTCAAGGACACCCATGATATCTTCAAGGAATAATTTCTCTCATATTTTTTTTCTACTTTATACAGATGAGAAAAAAGTACATAACATGATCGTGAATTCAAAGGGAGAACTCCAGGATCTATCTGAAAAAATATTTCATGATTCTGTCATTCAGCAGAAAAAGACATTGGCAGAGAATGGAAAAATGGTCCTGAGTATTGCAAAATCTAATAAAAGACGAACAGATGAAAAAATAAAAAACGATTCTGGAATATTCAACAAGGCTATGCGTGATGGGTTCAGAGGAAAAAGAGGAACAAATATTGGAAATTCAACCGTTACCAGTGGAACCTATACTCAGATTGAATCAGAAAAAGAAGTGCTTCATGAACAAAGTTATGCTCCAGGGCCAACGATAGATCCTGTTCATTCAGACCCAAATTCCAGGGAGATACGTTCATGGCGAGATTCTAACGACGTTAATGAATCAAAAGGACAATCTTTTCATGCAGAATCACTTGACGATTTCACTGCATTTCAAGCATGGCGCCGGATGAACGCGTTCCACAATCATGAAACCCAGAAGGCAAGTTAATAATATCGTGTATAATATAATAATCGATCTTCACTAATTCATATGTTACACATAACGAATTTTCTACGATATTCGGAAATTTTCTGATATTTACATGTCATTTGATATGATCGATTTATGCACAGGCAAGAGGACAGGGGCCATCGCCAATACCGCAGACGCCTACCTATGGACCTACTCATAGAAAAATGGGTACAACACTGCAAACGAATCGAATACAAGGGTCACCAACATCTGCACATATTCCTCAATTCATGGATCAGAGGAATACATCTGGATCGTCATCACAGCCTCAATATTGGAATAGATATCCAACAGAAAATGGCCCAGGTTGTCCATCGATACATTCATCTCCCTCAGGACTGATACATGAGCAAGG